ACGTACGTAGTAATCACTTCGCGGTATGCCACGGAGGCCCTAAACGTGACCAATAGGGAGAACGCCTACCGAAGAGCCCTACTTTGGGTAGGTAAAGGAAAATAACAAGTGCAGCAACCGAGCTAAACAGCTTGGGAAAGGTTTGATCATCATGGGGCACAACCGCCCAACCGAAAAGCTGGTGAAAGATCGGGTTTACGGCACCCGGAAGCCACAAAATCCCAGAGAAACGCCACCTCAAGGATCCGCTTCCTCATCCTCCTGAGAGTCAGGCTCCTCTTCATCCGCTTGGTCTGCTGTCTCGGGGGACAGACCCTTCATAGTAATGCCGTCGAGGTTAAGCCCGGAGAACTTCTTCCGAACTAGCCACCGCAGAGCTTAAACCCTGAGCAGTACGAACCCGAGCCATACTCTGCCTGGAGGTCATGAAATTCCTGGGAGTCTTTAAAATCCCAGACTGCTTTCTCTCGCTCAGCCTCCACTATCTAGTCAATGTTTCGGGTCCGATTCAGAAGAGTGGACTCCAAGTCCCGCACCTATTGCYTGAGGAGCTCCCTCTCCCCCGCCATCCTCGACGATTCCTCCCTATAGCGTGCGCTCTCTTCAGTAAGCCGAGCGATTTGAGCCTCCTAGTCATGAATGAGCAGCTCCTGAGACTCGCTCCCCTTGTGAGTGTGATGGAGCTCGGCCCGGATCCGGTCGAGCTCGACCTGGAGCTTCTGATTGGCAGCGCGTTGGTCGAGGGCGTCGACGCAATGGATGCGCGTCTGGAGAGCCATGGCATGGATGGCAGAATTTACCTATCGATGAAAAAGAATATCAGAAGATAGCGAAAAAGGGCAAAATGAGAGGGAAAAAGGGAAAAAGGGAAAAAGGCCACTTACCACCATGCACTGGGCAGAGGCGAACGCAGAGAGATCCCCGGGCTCCATGTTCCCCCACTGAGCTATCTCATCATTATTGATTGCCTTCTGACTCCTCCGGCGAGCTACTAGATAATCGTTTACCCCTTCCCAGTTTCCCACTGGGAACCGGAGGTAAGGACGGGGCTGAAGGGGGTTAAAGGGGGCCTCCCCCGGCAGAGAGGGCTCGCTTCCCCCAGG